GGCCTTGGGCGCCAGCAGCCCCGCTGCAGCAGTGCGCCCCGCATGTCCCAGGCCTCCCTGTCCGGAGCTTATCCTCAGAGCACAGCGTCCTGGGCAGCATTTGTCCCCAGAGGTGTGTGCTGCTGTGTTACCGTCACCAGCCGTCGGAGCAGCTGCGTGTCTGGCAGTCAGCGCTGGCTGCATGCTCATGGCGGAGCCATATGGTGGGACAGTGGGAGAGACAGGCGTTCTGTCCGGGGGATGGCCAGGAAGGGATGAGTCCGCTGGTGCTCATTCCATTAGCAAGATTTTCAAGACTTAATTCAGAAATAACGATAGAGCTACAAGGAAGCGCAGAGGAACGCACAGGAAAATCCTGTGTGCCCTTGTCATTACCGTGCTTTTAAGTTCACATGTGCTGCTTAAGGTTTTTATAGCTGCCCAGCAGTACATGCAAAGTAGGTCAATGCATTTAAGTAAATTGGAGAATAGTAATGACGTGGCAGCTAGGCCTGCTCTATTGCTAAGCAAAGAGGTAGGATTTCATTCTGTTCCGACAAATGAAAACATTCATCTGTGTACCTAGCAGCCCAGCTCTGCGTTTGTCCCTCCAGCCCAGCCCCGCTGCCTCAGCCTTTCCGCGGTCCCCTCCGTGTGGCCAGGCCTCAGCCAGGCCGTGCTCCCCGTGTGGAAGCTGAGGGGCCGTGCTGCCAGACACCCACACTCCCCCTTCTGCCCGCCGCCCGTCCTGGTGGCATTATCTCCTGCGTGTCTCTCAGGGTGGCTGGTGGCTGGGCAGCCCCAGCCTCACCTCCGTGTGCCGAGCAGGAGAAGGGGAAAGCCGGGGCTCGGGGTGCGAACCCACTGTCTCCGCCTGTCAGGCAGGGAGGCCTGCCACGTATTGCTGACCGGCCGCAGGGTCACGTGGCCACCCCTGGCTGGACGTCCCCAGGAGGCGGGGCTGTGCAGGTGACCCACCTGGTTGTCTGCCACGTGGGTCGTGTTGCTTCCTTCTTATTCTAAGTTTATCCCGATGAGCGTCAGACTGTTACAATAAAACCATTAATCTTTAAAACTTGTGTGTGCCTTTTTTGTGCTTGTGCATCGGCTTTAGACAGAACGGTGCCAGCTGGGGGTTTCCTGATGGCATTCCATGGCGTGTGTCAGGTCCTGCCTGTGACATGAGGCCGAGCGCAGAGGCTGCCGGGACTGCCCTGCAGCTCCAGCAGCCCTGTCCCTGTGGCGGTGCCCGAGGCTGTGCTGACGCCACTAGGGCTGCGGCCCTGGGGGGGAGGCGGGGTTGGGGGTGCTGAATGCCTGCTCTCTGTGGGGTGTGGGCCTGTATGGCGCATTCATCCTTCAGATGGGCTGGAGGGTGACCGGGCGGCATTGGTGGAGCGCTCGCCTCAGGCGGGGGTCCAGGGCTGGCCTGGGCCCCGTGGCCACAGAGTCTAGGGAGCGACAGAAGCTAATGTGCGCTCCCTTTCTTTTGAACCAGCATCCAGCACGTGTACGGCGCCCAGCACCCCCCTTTTGATCCACTGTTACACGGCACGTAAGTGATGCCCAACTCTCCCGGGGGCTTCGGGGTCCTGGGGCTGGGGGACCCTCCTGCTCCCTGGAGTTCCTGGGGGAGGGCACGGTCTTTCGTCCAGCAAACACGCGTTGGACGCTGTTGGCCTTTCACACTCGTCCTCCTGGGGGCGGGGGCAGGGCAGATGTGGAAGGACAGCCCGAAGGGGGCCTCCTGTGCAGGGGACACGGAGCTGGCTCCCCCGCCGGCGGGTGGTGGTGTCCCTCGCTCTCCATGCACTTGCCCAGCTGCCCATGGCTGAGCTGGCTCCCCCGCCGGCGGGTGGTGGTGTCCCTCGCTCTCCACGCACCCGCCCAGCTGCCCAGCTGCCCATGGCTCCCTCCGCCCTGTGTGTCCCGTTCCTTGCCCCAGGTGAGCGAGAGGAAGGTGTGGCCCAGATATTGTCTACAGTCATACTGTGGGGCTCTCATATCCCCATCCGTGCCCCAAAGGCCTGTCTGTGTCTGTGAGCGGTCCCTTCACCCCCCCCCCCCACCCCCGCAGCCTCGGGAGGGGGCAGGGACGCTGGGAGGAGAGAATGTATGGGCCCTGCCAGGTGAGGCTTGGGCACCTGAGCACCTGGCGGCAGCGCTGTGCTCCGCACAGACCAAGTCTGCCCTGCCTGAGCCCGCAGCTTCTCCCGCCCCGGCTGGCTCTGGTCCGCGTGCACTCCCCTCTGCCAGCTCCATTGAAGCGGAAAGCGGTGTGTGCTGTTCCCCTGGGGGCTCCCTTCTGACTGGGGGAGCTTCAGGGCTCCGAGGGTCCAGTGACTGCCTTTGCCTTGCAGCTTGCTCAAGGCCACGCCCAAGGTGCCCACCACGCCCGTGAAGGCCAAGAGAGTCAGCACCTTCCAGGAGTTTGAGAGCAACACCAGCGACGCCTGGGATGCGGGCGAAGACGACGACGAGCTCCTGGCCATGGCGGCGGAGCGCCTCAACTCCGAGGTGGTCATGGAGACGGCCCACCGCGTCCTGCGCGACCACAGCCAGCGGCA